ATATACATTTATAACAATATTAAATAAAATAATAATGTTATTAAATAATTATAATATAAAAGTTGATTTTTAGTTTATAACTTAAATTTAAGAGACTCACCGGTATTTTAGTGGGAAATTTAGCTCTGATTCCAGAAACCTCTTCCCTTCTCGTCGCTGTAAAATTGTGTGAAATATTTTAATCATTTTATTTAAGAATAGATTATTCTACAAAAAACAATTAAAAATACTAAGTTATGAAACTTTTCAATTAATTTATATTAGTAGTTAAAAAATAATATATTTAGAAAGTTGAACAAGTTAATTTTAGATGTAGATAACATCTACAAAATGCAACATTTATTATTTTCTAATTTATATATTAATACATTAGACTTAAATATAGTATAAAAATACAATTAAATATTAACAGTAATATAATAAACATAAGAATTATTGTTAATTGATCTGTTAAACTGAAATATTTCAATATAAATGATGGAAATAACATGGTTAAATAATGAAAATAGTAATAAATAGTATCGGGGTAGAAAATATTTCAATTAATGCTCAAATTTGTTATAAATAAATTCAAATAAATGAAGACATACTCAAAGGTTTTCTCTGTTTGAAGGGTCGGTTCGGATGTTCAGTTTTGTCGGTATTCGGTGCCATTGATTGTCTTTTTAGCCACTATTTAATCAAAACGTTGGTTTCACTGACAATTGTTGGTAATTATAATTCATAAAATACTAGAAAAACAGATTAGAAAAAGCACTGCAAACCTAAAGTTATCAAACCTTAAGTACAAATGCAAAATATAGCGAAAATATATTTATAAGTTGCTAATTGTCTGACGACTTACAAGTCTTGCACTTAAATAATAAATTATTTTTAATAATTTAATAATTTTATATGAGATGATTGGTTGTTATGAATTGATAAGAGGACAGAAATAATAGCCAAATAGTGTACATATGTTGGTGTATACTATCGAGAGATTGGATGAGAGTCGAGGTGTTTAACGTTTAGGTCAAAGGTTAAAGTGTTTACCGCACGACACAAAATCGTAATCAACACTACATTTACTGTCGATTAGAAAAAGTTGTTTCGATTCAAAATTAGAGAAAAATATGATAAGCAATGCATACTGTGATTAAGAAATCATATTAATTTAGTATTAATACTGTATATGTATTTTGAGTCAATAATAGCCAAATACCGGTAGTACTGATATATTACTTCTCTGTATAGTGTACTGTACTATTGAGTACACTGTAAAGGACACTGTATTTTACGTGACTATCAGACGGTTCCTAATGTTTAACAAATGGAAACATTTTAACATTAAATAAACAATAAAAATAAGTAAACAATTTGACTAATACTATAAATATTAAACAATTTATTGTCATTTCATTCAAATGATTACATAATTATTTCGTTCACTTCTCGGACAGTAATAACTTTTTTCTTTTCTCTTGACCTAAAAGTATTGATTGCTTGAAGAGTTGGCAAAACAATTGAATCGTACAATAAGTGTCATCATTGGCCGGAATCGGGTATGAAATGAGCGTCGGGTCGCTATTCGTGTCCACAATTCCAACCGTCGGTATAAGAACTTTGGCCGCATCGGTGACCGCCGGATGTGTTTCAAACACATTATTCATTGTACTCAAGAATATAAGCAAATCCGGGAGTCGAGTGACTGCACCGAAATGCTTCTTAGAGTCGTAAAAGGCTGAGCTGTTCCACTCTCGACAGTGACTGTATTGACCACATTGTCGGGCCGTCTCTTCCACCAAATGTGTTGTCTTTAAAATGCAAACAATATTAAAATATTTTCAATTATTACTAAAAACAGACATACATTTGGAGATCTGTTGATGAATAGTATGATTCCTCCTCTGAAGGCGATATGAGCGGTGAAATTGAGTGCTTCTCTCAGTCGTTGAGCCGTTTGATCCAAATCTAGGATAAGAAGTCCTAAACGAGTGCCAAATATATAGGGATTCATGTGTTGGTTAAGAGTTCCCGTTTTGTGCCCGAAATGAGCTCTCGATTCAAACAGTTGTCGGACTGTAAACAGTTTGTTGACACCGAAGAAGTCTTCGTGTCTTAACGAGTCCTCATATATCTTGTCGGTCACGGCGTCGACCACCGCATC